ATTTTATGGAGCCAGTAGGCCCTCCATCCCAGGAAGGCTCTGTCAATGGACGTGACTCTGCATTTGGGCACCTTACAAGTGCTTGCGGTGGTTGATTGTACGTTATTGCTGTAGAAAGTACGCCTCTGCATGATATTGTACGTTGCATATTGTGAAAACATTTGTGATGGTTTTAGTGGGGTTGGTATCATCTTGCTGCAGTTCATGCATTTCTTACTATACTTGAGAGTGTTTTACACGTATCAAGGGGCATCATGGAAGGTCTTTCTTTGCGGCCTTTTACACTACTGCAGCTTTGGTAGGGATACATCTTCCCAGTTGAGATCAGGTTACAATGTGTTTGGTTCGCACGTTTATGTGTAGCCATAGCAGTTTGTCATCCGGAAAATGTGTATCTAAATCCTCCAAGTTCATGCTGTACATGTAATCCCCATGTTACGTCAGGGTACTGGTATGTACCGTGTGAACATTTTCCCTTCCTTTAACCCGTACACGTATGTTGAACAAACATGATACACCTTTTACATAAATGGGGGATCTTATTTGTTCATACAAGACAATTTGTGGTAAAGTTCTATAATTGTAACTACACTCTTCCACCGTAACATCGTCAAGTTAAAAGAAGTGAAATTGTTGTGATTCTTACATTTAGTATGATAATTTAATACATTCACTCATATCAGCTGGTATGTGTGGGATAGTTCTGTTTTTTTAATTCCTGCATGGACCAGTCCTTCGAATAATACGCAAGGGCATAGGCATATTGGCGCCACAATAGGATTTGTATTCTGTTTGCAGTGCGCCTAGTTTATGCCAACTAGTTTTTTTAATTTTTTAATTGTCCGTTGAGGGCGGTGGCTTATCCCTTAATAATAAATTTTAAAGCATCAGCAGTACGCAGTACGACTGCACAACCGCGTTCAGTAAATGAATGAACATGACGTAGTAATCATGTTTCTATAATGCGGGATGACGTGTAATGTTCGAATTGGTGATGAAAATATATGTCCTTAATGAAAATCGTACAGCCTTTGTTCGTGTAATATTTTGAAAAAATATTTCATATATACTATTATAATGTTGCCATTTTTTTATTATTCCAAAACTTTCTCTAGTAGCAATGACGTCATGCTCTACAGAGCACAACGTCGTCATCTTGTTTCCAGGCGGCGGGTGACGTGTTGGATTCAAATTGATTATGAAAATATACGGTACGTCCCAAATCACATGCGTACAGTTTTTGTGGGCTGAAAGACGGTGTGCGTCCCCCTCTCCCCCCCCCGCGCCGTAAAGTAGATGTATGCTGTAAAAATTGGCGACATACAATTGAAATCTGCAACATTTATTGACGTTTTTAATATTATTATAAAGGTGACCGACGCCGTCGCTGGTGTCCGACGCCTCTCCCACGAAAACGCAAAATTCGCGCCCCACCCCGTGACGCCCGTTGCGTCGTGAGCCTATGACTCGCGCTCGTGCTGTCAACACGTGCGCGTCACACCGCACGACTCCGCGTCCACAGCCGGCCCCTCCCAGCGCTGTAGAGTCGCGCCCCACCCCGTGACGCCCGCTGCATCGTGAGTCTATGGCCCAGCCGACCGCTGCGGCGAGCTCCTCTTGTATTGCCTCCCCATATACCCGCTCCTGGTGCTGCGCGGTGACCGGCAAATACTCTACCGGGATGCTGTGATCCTTGACAGCGTAAGTTTCATATGAAGTGTCCGAGGCTGGAGATTGCTCTTCCGGGGAACCATATGGAGGCTGGTACTGTGCTTCCCAATGCGCGGGAGGCTGGTGCTGCGCTATGCCATACGCAGTCTGCTCCACTGTCGCGCATTGCTCCTCCTTAATGACGTAGTGTACACGCCCAGCAGCCTGCGAGACTCGGGCCGGCTGCTCCTGAAGCGCCGGTGTGTTTTGATTCGGTTGTTGGTCGTTTCCATGGTGAACAAAGCGGCCAGGCTGTTTCGTATTGTTGGCAACTGGCACATCTTGTCGGTGTTGTTGCAGCGCAACAGCCTTCTTGAACGTCTTTTTCTGCGCAACTGCCTTGCGTTCATTCGATTTGACCTTGGCGTTGGGCCCCTTCTTCCCGCGCTTCTTGGAAATACCCCCTTCGAGGGCGGCGCGGATGTTTTTGGAGCGGCGCAAGCCGCACGCGTTGCAAAGCGTTGCAACGCCGCCCGATCGGCTACGGCGGACGGCGGTGATGATGGTTTTGCACCTGGCACAAGTCCAAGGGGTTCCATCAGGTAGAACGCGAATGATGCCTTTGGGCTTGCGCTTGGAGCGGCCCTTGCAAGCAGGTGGGGGGGTAAGAGGTTTGGGAGCGGGAGGAGTGAAGCGAGCAACGGAAGCGTCGAGGGAGTTTGGGGGAGGCTCTGTAGGGCAACCGATAGGGAAGAACGGTGTTTGGGGGGAGCCGGTGGGAAACATGTTGGAGAGTTGGTGGTATCGTAGAACGAAAAAAAAAAGGAGTCAAGATGAGATGATGAGCGTCGGGATGAGGGGTGAGGAGGGGAGAGGAACGAAAGCTAGTACGGCGGGGTTGGCTGTTTATAAAGAGCGGGGCTATGGACGACGGTGTGGGTGGGGGAAAGGGGTTCGCTAAGGCGCAGAGCGGTTCGTTGCCATATGATTCACTCGGTTGGGGGGATGAGGGGGGCGAGCGAGGGACTGTTCCTCGTGAGAGGCAGATTGTATGAGCACGGGCCAGTTCTGCATACACCTTCCCAGAGCCGCGCCGTTCCACCTTCACCGCTTGCCTACCGCTTTACCTTCAAACTCCCGCGCGTGTCCGCTTCATTGTACACATTCGCCTATCCGTGCGTGACCCTCCAGTTGACTGCGGATGGTGGTCGCGCCTCGCGCGTTTCTGCACTACACCCATTGCCTCGTTGTCCCCGTGCAGTCGGGGAGCAAGCGGGGAATGCTCTCCGGGCCACAGCCGCCTGCTTTCCGATTTCTACGTGCCCGCTGGAGCTCGCCGCCGAGCTCGCCGTGATGCAGGTCAGGGATGCTTTCAGGTCGCCATCGATTTGTTGCTATCAATTTTGGAGAGCAGGGGCAGCTCGGATGCACGTCGGAGCAACGTGCCGTTCGGGGGCAGCTTGAGAGGGGCGCAGTGGGGATTGTAGAGATGGACGTGGACGGCGGGCCATTAATGAGCGTGAGCAAGGGCAACTCTTCCCGCTAATTACGGGTGTTGCATGCCGGCGGTATTCGCAAAGCCATCCTCCTCGCGCTCTCCCCTACAACTATATTCAGAATCCCTGCCACATTCGCAAAAACAGACACGTTTCTACCCTCGTACAAAACTATTGAAGCGGTAGCATCCGGTCAGTGGATCTGTGATGGTCCGACCAGACTTGCCGCCGTGTCCCAGGAGGGAATGGCCAATGGATGGGTGCCTCCAGAGGGAATGGCCAATGGATGGGTGTCTTAGATGGAAAGCAGCAGTCAAAAGAGAGAGAGCCAGTGAGTACAGTTTTAAGGCGGGAAAAAGGGCATTCAAACCTGAAAGGCAGGAAGAGTGGAATTCAAAGTAGCCAACAGGTGAGTGCCATGTCAAGAATGATCATAACGAGGGCTGCGACACGGATGAAACCAGCGATGAAACCTTCCATCCGACCAATAGGCCTTCCGTCCGAGATTCGGGACTTCCATCCGCCGCGGAGCGTGGGGAGTGTTTTGGCCCGTGCTTTGATATAATTTTTGCAGATATTTTATGGAGCCAGTAGGCCTTCCATCCCAGGAATCTTCAATGGCGATGCCAATTTCGACGCCTAACCTCCCATCCGTCCAACCCATGGGTATAGGAAATATCCCCTAATCCCCTAATCCCACCGAATCCCCTACTCCTCTAAATCTCCGAATCCCACCGAATCTCCTAATCCTCTGAATCAACTGGCAACCAGCTGTACAACAATTTAACAAAAAACGGTACTCTACGTCAGCGTTGCCTAATGCCCACGCATTTTTTATTTCTACTGCGCCCCCCTCCCCCCTCCGTACAGTACTCTACCGTGGTCGTACTTCCTTTTAAACTTCTATCCTTCTATACTTTTACACTTCTGAGCTTCTCTGCTGTTAAAATTCTATTCTTCCATACTTCCCTGTTCTAAACTTCTATACTACTATCCCGCTCTGCTTTTAAACTTCTGCTTCTATACTTCTACACCGCTCTGCTTTTAAACTTCTATACTTCCATAATTCTCTGCATTCAAACGCCTCTGCCTCTGTGCTTCTATACTTCTCTGCTTTTAAACTTCTCTGCTTTTCTGTGTCGAAACTTCTCTGCTTCTAAACTTCTATACTTCCATTCTTCTAAACTTCCATACTTCTCTGCTTTTAAACTTCTCTGCTTCTATACTTCTACACTTTTCTGCTTTCAAGCTTCTCTGCTTCTCTGCTTCTAAACTTCTATACTTTTATACTTCTTATTCTTCTATACTATCATACTCTTATACTTCTAAACTTCCATTCTTCTATACTTCTCTGCTTTCGTACTTCTATACTGCTCTGCTTTTAAACTTGTATACTTCTTAGTTATGGGTTTCACGGGATTCGCGGGATTCGCCCTAATCCCTGCTAATCCCACGATGGGCTAATCCCACTTTTCTGCTAATCGCATTTGTTTGAAATTACATTAATTTAAAAAATTGCAAATTCCATTTGAATATTTCAAATTACACTAATGTTTTCCAAATGTTTTTTTTTATAAAAATGGGGCTCCGGGTGAATTAGTATTACTTTTGCGTAACAGGACTATTGCTGCTAATTGTAATATTCTTTAGTACTTGGTGATGTGCTAATTGCTTTTTCCATTCCCACAGTACTTCATCGTAATTTGTAATGTCGTTTGGGTATAGGGAATATGCCTTACTCTATATTATAAAAGGGAATATCTCCTAATTATCTGTGAAAACTTGGTTCTACCCTGTGCGTATATTACTTTTCCACTTCTGCCCAAAGACTGGGCCTCGGCTTGCATCGCGTGGTTATCCGGTAACATCCATTGCCATTTGTGTAGCAAATGCATCATGACGCATACTGTCTGGGCAAATCCAGGACAACGACAGATTCAGTTTCGATCCTGCTGCGATTCCACACGGAAGCATCACGAAAATGCGAATTCCACTGCTATCTAATTGCACGAGGCATTTCTGGAAGGAACGGCATCCAGATGCCTGCATATCGTTGATGCGCGTTGTGTCTGGATTCAAATCTGTTACGTCCGAGGGGTACCCCAACATCGTCCCCACTAGCGTCTTTTGAGTTTGGCCCTTCAGAAACTTGTGCGTATAATACTGCGTGATTCTGTCTTCCATCTGTATGCCACGGTGGTATTTGAGTGTGAAGTTGTTGTTCTCAATCTCCTCCATGATTTTCTCTCTTGTAAGATATCTGCGTGTTCGTCGCTGTGCATCCTTCCGTAGCTGTGCTTTCAGCTGTATGTGGTTGATCAGATCTGGCCCACGATGGACTGGAGAGGTAATCAAAGCACAGGCTTCTTCATCCTGGACGTGGTGAGGGAGGATCTCTGCACAGAACACAAAACTTGGAACACTATTCACGTCATCGGGTGCCATTTGGTTCAAAAAGCACATGGGCACGCCTCTGTCTTCGGCGTACCTAGCGCAGGCGATGTTTGCCGCCTTTTCCATCGACGAAATCAGTACGGACGCCCTTTTGGTGCGCACCCGAGGCGACACAGATATCCCCATGGGTTCTTGTGCATCAACGTTCAACTCGTGATAGTCAACGTATTCTTCTTCTTCCACGGCCTGAGGAAATGTTTGGTTCACCAGGTTATAGATACGCTTCAAATCATTCATCTCCTCTGATTGTATCTGCTCTTCAGCCTCCACGTACGACAGTATCTTCGGCTTTGAGATGCGAGATAAGCATATGTGATAATCCGAATCGTTGATCATGCCATTCGAAATTGGGAAACGTACCGTGAGGGTGCAGCTTCCCCGCCACCCTGCCAGACTCGCCATTCTCGCAATAGCTTTTGGGAGCATCGTCATGTTTCCCGTTGGCAAGAACTGCGTCCGCCCTCTCTCCATCGCTCCGCTCAGCAAAAGACTGTTCAGGTCATGACCGATGTATCTCGTTACGTCTGATATATGCACAAACACATAATCTTGTTCACAATCTGCGTGCCTCCTGCCTACGCTTTCTCCCTCCCTTTCAAATTTCCCAATCGATACGGCGACGTTTCTGTCGTTTCTGTCCGCATGGTGGATAGAGTACGCCATGTGGTGACTGAATGTATGTCGCCATTCCGCGTCTTCGTCTGCTCTCCCATCCTCTTCAAAAAACATGGTTTCGGCGTACTCGACTTGTTGCGTACTGGCTTCACTTTCTAGGCACAACGCCCCCGCCATGAGTACTTTTTCGTCAAACGTATCCCGGATCCCCAGCTCCTTGCAAATGCTTGCGGCAAACTGCCGAGTTATATCCAAGTTCATCAAAGACATACTCAGCCTCTTGCGATCTACCTCCTGAAAATGTTTCGTTGCTTCCAAGGTACTCAACAAATCTGAATCGTATGTTATCATGCCGCGGGCATCATGCGCGCTGAAGCTGCAGTTCTGGAGGCATGTGATGGTCTCCATATACGTGTCATACGCTACATTCGAACTGAATATCTCTATATCTCCAGAGTATACCGATTGCGCCAAGGTATACCACGCCACAGCCGGTTGCGTAGGGGTAGTGGCGCTGTCTGCATTCAACGCCTCGTTAGCCTTGTAAAACATTTCATACGGGTTCAGATACGGATTTGGATCGACTTGGGTCACTCTGGCGTCGCAGTTCAGCACTATAGCAGCAGCGAAGAGGACGGATGGCGCAGTGGCTCTTCCTGAGAACAGACGTGACGCCACGCGATTCAACGTCACAGCTCCATCCTCCATGAATGTATGATTTGATATGCGCACACCGCTTGCTAGACACAATCCATTCTTTTCAATTCCTTCAATAGTCCTTTCCTGCACTCCAAGCTTACTTCTTCCCTTTCTCCAGATTACGTGTAAAATTTTGATTTGCTCAAGGCTAGCTCTAGTCCCGAACCATCCCTTCACTTCAAGTATGTCGTTCCCATCTTCAGTCGAACACCAAACTTGTCCAACTCTGGCATACCTCCCTTGCACACCTAGTGACATCTGTACTTCGAGGATTGCTGTAAATAACACAATATCTCCGACATTAAGACGTGATGAAGGCATTCTCTCACAGATATATCGTCCTTCTATACAAAAACAACGAGTAAACGTGCGCAAGTGGTAGCTCTCTCTCTCTCTCTCTAAATCTCTCTCTCCACCTCAGAATCGTGTCCTCATGTAAGTTCTACTAAGCTCTACTTATGAAGATATCAAAAAAAGCTATTCTACTCCAAGTCAATGACGCGCCCATCTAAAACTTGTGCCGTATGGAATGCGGTTCATCGCTCAAACGCCAAAACCGCCCAATGAAGAAAATTGCACACATTGAAAATACGCAACCGCTCCTATCGTCATGCTCCTATTGTAATGTTTTCCCCAAACGTAATAATAACCGCCTTTTCCCATTGCTCTTTTAAATATCTTCCTCTTTCAGGCAACATGCCATTCATGGCTCTTACAACAATTTAACAAATTGTTATTTTAAGTATCATCCTCTTTCAGGTAACATGCCATTCATAGCTTTTACCTTCTTTTCGGCGGCTGGCAACCAGCTGTACAACAATTTAACAAAAAACGGTACTCTAGGTCAGCGTTGCTAATGCCCACGCAGTTTTTATTATTTATATGAAATATCCCCCTCTTGGCCCCAAGAAAGTACATAGGTTGAAGTAAACTGATCAGAATGTTCTTTCCCATGTTGCCCACTACCTAGGGCGGGAAAATTGCGCGACACAACTATCTACACTCCTACAACCAGGCTCATTCAGCATGCAGTCGAGAGCCTGCCTTTAAATCCCCATGTAGACGCTCTTGAACCCCTTCTTTTCTGCTGTCCCTGACTTCCCAAATAGAAAATATCTTTTACAGGACACCCTCACCGGCAAGGCGCGAGGTTTACTCTCCGCTGCGCGCAGGGTCTACTTTTACAACAAGTACTACCAACTTTTCAAGGCATTCCTACTTCGACCCTAGTCAGATTTCTTCTCCTCATACTCATCTAAATCTGGTGTTACCTCCTGTTCCTGGGTATCAGGGATTGGCAATTGGACAGGATTCCCACGTGAAGGCCCAACAGCAGCTTTCGCGGTCGAGCTACCCTCTTTGAGAATTTGCACTGGCTGAGTAGCAGGTACTCCCTCCTTCATTACAACATCATCCCCTTCCCCATCGGCTTCCACATCATCCACATAACCGTCATCCCCATCCACATCCCCTTCGCTGACAACCTCGCCGGTTGCATCATCCTCACCTTCATTTACGTCCTCGTCCGTATCGTCGTCCAGGTTGGTCTTCATAATGGGATCAAACTTTTGGAGCATATGAACACCATCCTCTAAGCGATGGCTCATTGGCACGAAATACAGGTGATATCGAAGGCAGCTCCCGTCCCCTGCTGAATCTCCATATCCGGCACCAGCATGAAACATGTCCCCACGACCGACGAAGATAGAGTACGGGGGTATCCTGAGGATTCCTGCCACACTCCCTTTCGACATAGCGCGAATACCTCGTTCTGGGGCCATCGATACCGTCTTATGCGAAAACGGACAAACCCAGACCGGCACTTCTAAACTGCCTGTGGTAATAGTAAAGTAACCGGGGTTTCTCTTGCCACGAACGGTGTCCGTTCTGCTCATAGAAGGAAAATCCGTATGCAGTGCCTGGCGCTTGCACCCTTTCGCCGTCAGCAACCACCGCCCACCGGTCTTCGGAATATACATCTCCTCGCTACCGCTCTTATTTTTCCATACCACCAACGCCGCCAGCGCTTGCGAAATACGGATGTCCAAAAGCGCCCTCAGCCGAGCAGTCAGCACCGTGCTTGCGTTTTGCTCTAGATGAGTAGTCACCCCGAAATTGGTAGTGGTGTAGCGAGCAATCCCTTTCTCACCCTTCACAGCATCGACATCGAAACCCTCATTCACAATCCAATTCCACACCGTGCGATTGTCGGGATCCCTCAGAGCCTGAGCGCCAGGAAAAGAGGCCTGCACTTCAGCCCGAAGACGTGAAAAAACATGCCGGTCCCCATCCATCTGCGGTATTGTCACCGACCCCACCTTCTCCGGGTTGCGTCCATCATCCAGAAAGTTGCTCAGAACGCAGTACCCCTGAGATTCAAGCTCTCCTCGTTTCTCAGCGAAATATGCGAGAGCAGCGTAGTCATTTGCAATGGCAGACGCCCAAGGAAGCAGGTTCTTGGGGACTTCAGTAAAGCGTTCATCGCCATCGGGAACGACCTCTTCTTGTGGATGATCGACGAGGTAGTTCAGCGCTGCACGCCAGAAGACCAAGTGGTGATTATCTCGAAGCACATCGGCTGCACTGTTAAAAAACACGTTCGCCCGGTGTTCATGCGGAACGAGTATCGTCTCCAAAAACGGCATAGCATGACCAATAGGGTTCTTCTTTGGCCATTGACTAGGGAATAGAAAAGCAAACCGGCACCATTGCGGATGCTCTAAACCTTCGTATGGAACCGGGTCGTCATACCCTATCGGCAGTACAGCTGCAACTTCATCTT